ATGGAGGATAATGGTGCTGCCTTTCATGTGGTATCTGCCTATGGTGGTGACTTCATTTCTGGTTATTCTCTGATACCTGTTTACGACAATATCTCTTTTTGCATTGATTTACAGAATGCTTCTTCTATGCATTCTAGTTCTTGCTTCGGTGTAGTTCCTGCTGGTATTGTTTTATCAAAAAAGGATGGCTTCCTTGCTAGCCATGGTAATGTGCAAGCTAAAGTTATGGGTCACAATCTTTTGGGTTGTGTTTCTAGTTCCACCGAAGATAGTCGTGAAGCAGCCCACATTGGGAAAGTTTTGGGTGTTCGAAGTTCTGCTCCTTGCAATGATATTGATCTTGTTATTGATTCTGGTGGGGTTGCCAATGATGCTGAGTACGGTCAAGGTCTCAGTTATGTTATTCGTGATGGTTATGGGTTGCATGCACCTATGGTTGTGGGTGAGCATGCTGATCAGCCAGGTCTTTCTCCCTGTGGGGATATTCCTAGGTCCATAAATTCTGGTCTTGATGGTACCACTCAAAGTATCATGAACTTAGAGACAATGATTGAAAATCTTCGTATGGGCCCTGGCCCGAGATCTATTGCTGTTGATCTTGATGGGGTCATCAGGAGTCCTGTAAGGGAGGCCTTTCCACCCTGTAAGGGAGGCCTTTCCACCCTTGGTAGTTGGTTCGAAGCATACCATAGATGGCAACATAGGAAGTCAACCTATTGCTGGTTTTGGCAAAGGCAAGGAGATGGATGTTACTCCTTGGAAATTTTTTTGCTAGTAAGAACGACCTAGGATCTACTTCGGGTTCTCATAGTGAAGGTGTCGTAAGGGAGCAGTTTCCATCCTAGGTTTCAAAGAACAAGAATGGAAGCTTAGCTAACAGCTGTTGGGACTCACGTAGGTCCTTAGACCTGTTATTTTGTGCCAAGGGTGTTCAAAACGGAGTGTTTTACTTTGAGGAGATGGATACTTTACCTACTGAAATTATTAATGGTAAAATATTTGTCAAAATTGAAAATAATTTGATGGATTCATATCGAAGTAGGTGAGAAAACTGCTTATTAGGGTACTTCTTGGGCCGCCGATTCGATTGGAATTATATGAAAGAGATGTTGAAGAAATTATTGAGGCTTGAGTGTGATGTTGAAGTATTCTCTGTTGATGGGGGCTTCTTGATTTTTTGATTCTGTTCTAGGAAGGAGATGGAGGTTGCCCGTACGGGGGGGCCATGGTTTATCAACAAAAAATGCTTGGTGTTTCAAGAATGGAATCCATTAGTTCAAACCCCTCTAGGCATACTCGCCAAACTGTGCCAGTTTGGATCAAATTGCCAAGGTTGCCAATGATGTATTGAGAACCAGAAATTCTGTTTTGTATTGCCTCCAGTGTGGGAAAGCCCATCTTCATGGACAAATCGACAAAATTGAGATCAAGGGCTGAGCCAAGAGTGTGTGTTGCATTGGATCTAGATACGATATGCTCGACTGAAGTTTGGCTGGACATGTATGGGAAGGATTATAGGCAAGTGATAGTCTATGAGTTCATACCCTCGATCTGGTCTAAATGTCGGAGGGTGGTCCATAAGCCTGAATTATGTCGAGCAAATTTAAGTGCAAAGGCTCCCATCAAGGCTAGTGCAACAATTGTTCCTAATGGTGGTACTTCGGTTAAGTTACCCTTAGGGGAAGAGGGTTGGAAGGTAGTCAAAGGGAGGCAGTAATTAGTATATAAAAGGAGGGTGAAGGAAAGCACTAATGGTTTTCTAACCCTTCCCAATATGCCAGAGGAGAATAATGTGCTGATTATCGACCACCTTGTTGGTTCTCACACTAATAACAAAGTGGACCTGAAGGATATCATTTCTAATGCTTTTGAAATTCTAGCCAATATCCAAGAGGATAACGATGTGTATCTTATTGAGAAGGCAATTAGCTCTTATGAGAAAAATACAGTTGACACTTGTATTCCTATGGGTGATTCTGATGTGCCTCAGGAGTATGAGGTTACAGTTATGACTAATGTCGATAATATTGGTGTGTCTGGTGCTATCGAGGATCTGCCGCCTGTGAGTGGGAGTGTTTCGTCTGCAGTTGAGGATGGCGAATCCTCGCTCTTGCGACAGAATGCAGTTCTGAACCTTGAAGCTTTGTTGTTAACTATGGACAACCAGGTTGATGTAAACAATGCTGCCCATTCTATGACCACACATTTGATATCATTACGACTATGGTGTCTGATAAAGCAGCTGTTACACCTACAGTTATGCATTCCTTAGTCCATGGCCATGATCAGAAGGAATGTGAGCACAGTCGCATGCAGGTTAATGTCACTGTCGCCATAGAGAAAGATGAGGAGTAAGATGTTGAGGCCAGTTTGGATCCCTTGTTTAAGGAGGATCCGAAAATCTATGGTAATGGCCAGGGTGTGACTGAGTCACAAGGGACACGCTAGAGGATGGCATGGGGAATATTGTTGGTGGTCACAATACCAAGCAGCAAGTCGAAGTAAGTCTTAGCAAATCTCTGGAAAAGGAAGTTGATAAGGTGGGAGGTTCTAGTAAGCGATTGCAGGATCATGCGAATAGTGAGAAGCTTTGTCAAGCTCGAACTAGATTGCAATTAAAAGCCTCTTTGGCACCAACTGGCAACAAGAAGGGGCATTCTTTATCAGCTTTAGGTGATACGAAAGGATTAACTCTAGTAGCTACTGGTGACAAGAAGGGGTTACCTTATATGGCTCAACGTGCTCCAACAACTTTTGAAGGTAAGGTTTCCCTTACCAAACGACCAAACCTCTCTAATTTTATTTAGGTCAATTGCAGCTTGGAATGTTAGGGGTCTTCAGGGCCGGGGCAGAATATCGGATATTGGGGTTTTAAAAGAACAACATAATCTTGGTCTTCTTTTCTTATTGGAAACTAAGCTTCCTGTGGAGTTGAGCCGTATTTGGTTTAAGAAGTTGGGATTTTATAATAACTTTATTGCTAATGAGATCGAGGGTAGATCCAAAATTTTAGTCCTATGGATTCCTTTAATTTACTCAATCAAAATGATTAATGTAAATGTTGAGATGATAACTGTGGAGGCTACTCGTATCTGTAATGGAAACATCTCAGTTGTTTCAGGAGTTTATGCATTTAATTATGTGTCCCAAAGGGCCATGCTTTGGGACCATATGAGGGCTTTAGGAGCAACTATTATTCTTCCCTGGCTGGTATTAAGAGATTTTAATACTCTATTGGATTCCTCAAAAAAGTGGGGGGAGCAGTTCTTTACCACCAGATTTAGGTGGTTTTGCTCAAGTAATGTCCGATTGTGCTGTTGCTAATCTTGGTGTAGTCATAGGTTGGTTCTCTTGGTCTAATAACCAATGTAGCAGAAGATGCATTAGAAGAAGGTTGGACCGGGCATTAGCAACTATTGATTGGGTTTTGGCCTTCCCGGAATTCAAAATCCAGTTACTCCCTAAAGGCACCTCAGATCGCTGTCCCTTACTCGTCTCTATTTTTTATTTGGGTTCGGTTGGGCCCAAACTTTTTAAGTATTTCTCTATGTGGGAGCAGCATCACGGTTTTTTAGAACTTATCTTTAATTCCTGGCAAGGCCAAGTGGGGGGGACACCCATGTATCGCTTTGTTGCTAAACTTAAGAGGCTTAGGGCCGACCTTTGGTTATGGAACAAGGATGTGTATGGCTATGTTGGGGAATCCATTGCAATAGTTCGACATCAACTATCATCTTTGCATGATAGCTTACGCATGGATCCTTCCATTGAAACATTCATGTCTGAGGAAAAAGAGTACTCAAAAATTGTAAACTCTTTTAGGCCATGAAGAAAGATTCTAAAGGCAAAAATCGCGTCAAAACTGGTTAAAAGAGGAGGACTCCAACACCGAATATTTTCATCTATTGGCTGTGGTGAGAAGCAGAACAAATAGAGTTATCTCTTCGAAAGATCAGCATGGGAATTTTTTGTTTGCTGAGGTTGACATTGAAAATAATATGATTGGCTATTTCGAAGACCTATTGGCTCAAGAGAGCAATATTGACCTGCACATGGTTGAACAATTCTTCTTGCCGCCATTTCATCTCAATTCTTCTCAGAAGGACAAATTAGTGGACACAGTAAATATGGAGATCAAAGAATGCATTTGGAATATGAAAAATAAAAGTGCCCCAGGTCCTGATGGGTTTTCAGTGGAATTCTACAAGTTTGGATGGGAAGTCATTAAAAAGGATCTTTTTCTGGCCCTTAAAGATATCTTTACTAAAGATAAGCTTCTCAAGCAAATCAATTCCACTTGTATATGTTTGATTCCTAAAGTGGATGCACCTAGGGGGATGAAAGACTTTTGACCTATAGGGTTGTGTAATGTCTTGCACAAAATCATCAGCAATCGGCTACGAGTTGTTCTTGATGATTTTATCGACCCTAAGCAGGCTGCATTTGTGAAAGGTAGGCTTATTACTGATAATATTCTTATGGAAAATAAACTTATATCTCTTTGCCATAGGAATTCCGCTCGGCTTAAAATGTGTCTGCAAATCGATTTGAGCAGTGCCTATGATAGGGTTTCCTGGGATTTTATTGTGGGTAGGATGCATGCTTTGGGTCTTCCTGAGTTATTTGTTTCTTGGTTCATTTGTGTATATCCACTTCTTCCTTCTTTGTTTTGAGGAATGGCTCACCCATGGGATATTTTATAGGGAAGAGAGGTTTGAGGCAAGGGGATCCTCTATCTTCTTGTCTTTTTTTGCTGGTCATGGATTTATTTAGTAGGCAGCTTGATTGTGCTATGTGGCAAGGCATGGTTCCCGGGGCTTTTTTTTCAGGGTGTGACTATGGGGTTTCTAATCTTTTTTATGCTGATGACATGCTTATTTTCTGAGGCATCCATTTCTTCTGCCACTGCTATGTGTGAACTTATTTCTATGTTTGAAAGGAGTAATGGTCAGATTTTGAATTCATCTAAAAGTAAGGTTTTTTTCTTTGGTGCTCCACAGGGAGGACATGGGAGAATTCTGTGGGAGTTAAAGTTTGTTGAAGGAGTCCTTCCAGTCCGCTATTGGGCCTACCATTATTTCGTGGACATCTGAGGCACAATTATTGCCATTGTCTGGTGGGTAAGGTGTTCGCTAAGATTGGGTCATGGCGGCTTTTATGCCTCTTATATGCTGGTCGACTTCAGTTCCTTAAGCCTGTACTCGGAGCATCAACGGTTTTCTAGTTGATATCTTTCATTCTCAACATGTAATATGATAGAGAAACTACAAAGGAACTTCTTATGGGCCGGTGAAGCAGAGAAAAAAGGTGTTCATCTTATAAAATGGAAAGCAGTGTGTCTCACTATGGCTGAAGGAGGTCTCGGGGTAAGGGAAATGGCAGATTTCAATATCGTAGGAATGGTGAAGTTTGCATGGAGGATTTTGGAAAATCCGTCCTCGTTGTAAGCACGGTTCTTCAAACATTGATATTTTAGAAATTCCTCTATATGGGAGGCTGAAGGAAGAAGAAGATGTTCTAATGCATGAAAGGGGATTTTACTTGGCTTATTTCACTTGCAAGGAAATGTACAGTGGAATATTGGTGATGGTCAGATGGTGGATTTCTGGGTGGATCCATGGTTAGCAGGTAAGTTACTTTTAGATTTGCATGATAATGACATCCAAGAGGATTTGGCGGCCACTGCAGGGAGGGTTTCAGACTTTATCAGAGGTTCACCCCAGTCTTGGGTTCTGCCACATCCCACATTTGAGTTTTTGAGAAATATATGGAGGGAGGTTGAGAATTGTACTCTTCCTCTACAGCCCAAAAGGGATTCACTGGTCTGGATTCACTCTTTTGATGGCTTATTTTCTATTAAAGGGGCATGGGATTTACTTACGCATCAAGGTTCATCAATTGCTTTCCAATACAGATAGAAAGTGATTCGACCTTGCATGTGAATCTCATTCAGAATCGATGCAGTGCTCCATGGCGGCTAATGACCATTGCAGATAATTGCTGCACCAAACTTTCTTCTCATTGATGGTCTATTACACATGTTTTTTGGGAGGCAAACATGGTTGCTGATGTTCTCGCTAAGTGGGCATCTGCTAGCCCCGGTGCTATTGTGTGGCGCCAGTGACCACCAGATTTTCTTTTCTCTCTTTTATTATATGATCTGGCGCAATTGCCATACTATAGGGTTGTACGTTTTTTTTATTTTTCTTTGCTCTTTGATTAATGGAAAACGGGTAGGGGGCCTTCTACCCCACTGACTTACCCAAAAAAAAATTATATGAGTAAGGAACTTAGGGCAAGGAGGGTTTTATTTTGGGGTTTGCTCCAGGAACTGTTCACCATAAGTCGGTTAACCACTGGATAAAGAGGGAGTGTTGACCTTAGGTTCAGTTAGACTCTGCCTTGAACTTCCTTTTGGGTGCGCTTACGCCTAGAAAGATCTGGATTATCCAATGGCCCACTGTGCCAGTTCTCACTGTAAATCTATTGTCTGTGGTACTGTTTTACAGGGTAGTAGAAAACATGGAACTTACTTGAGCTGGTTCTTAACAATGGGATATCGAATTTCAGATAAATTTCGAACACTCAAAAAACTTTTGAGTCTAGTTTATCGAGTCAAGATTTCAAGTCAAAACATTTTGTATTTTGTGAGATATTCATTGATAAGTGAGTGCTTTTTTTTGGGTAAGTCAGTGGGGGAGACAGCCCCCTACTCGTTTTTCCATTAATAAAAGAGCAGAGAAAAACAATTAACGTACAATCGTATAGTAGGGCAATTGCGTCAGATCTTGTAATAAAAGAAAGAAAAGAAAATCTAGTGGTCTATGGTGCCACACAGTAGCACCAGGGCTAGCAGATGCTCTCATAGCGAGGGCATCTACAACTATGTTTACCCCCCGAAAAACATGTGCAATGGACTATCGATGAGAAGAAGGTCTGGTACAATAATTATCTGCTATCGTCTTTAGCCTCCATGGAGCACGGCATTGATTTTGAGTGACATTCACAAGCATGGCCGAATCACTTTCTATCTGTATTAGAAAGCAATTCTTTTGATGAGCCAACTGAACTCCTTCTTCAAGTGCCAAGAATTCTGCATGGTTATTAGAAGCAATACCAAAATGCTTTGCAAACGTAGCAATAAAACCACCCTCTCTATTCCTGATGACTCCACCACCACCTGCTAAACTTGGATTTCTCAAGAAAGCACCATCAATATTAAGCTTGTAATTTTGAGCCTCAGGAAATGACCACGCCACCGGAATAAGGTATTCTGACCTCTGTTGATACCAAGTTATCTGAAGATTACTAATTAAGGCCTTTTCTGATAAATGGAAAGATCATTTTAACTTCTGCTTGTGCCTGAACATGTAACGTAATTCGTTTTACAATAAGCTCTCTCTTGGTGGGTCTTGAGTATCTTTCGGTTGCGCAGTAAAAAAGATGGAAGACCAAATATTACGAAGTCCATGTGATTTAAACCTGAAAAATAACCACCACCTCAGTAAATCAGAGACAAAAGTACTGAGGACAAACCATTTCCACATCTCCAAGCTAATGATCTCCATAAACCCTGCGCAAAAGCACATTGGAATAATAGATGGAAAAGGCTGTTATCATGGTTTCTACAAAAGGGACATAAAGAGTTCAGCTGTATACCCCACTGTTGCAATAAAAATGAGGAGGGCAATTGATTATGCAAGGCCAACCATGAGAACCATTTCGCCCGTGGGTGGCATTTAGAAGACCAGAGTGCACAAAAAATAGGCTGTGATGAACCTTGATGCCTGATAAAATCCCATGCCCCTTTAATAGAAAATAGGCTATTAGCAGAGTAAATCCATACTAGTGAATCCTTTATGGGCCGTAGAGGAAGAGTATAATTCTCCACCAACCTCCATATATTTTTCAAAAAATCAAATGTGGGAGGTGACGAAACCCAAGACTAAGGTGCACCGCCAATAAAGTCTTAAACCTTCCTCCCTGTAGCAGCCCCCAAATCCTCCTGAATGTCATTATCATGCAAATCTAAAAGTGACTGACCTGCTAATCATGGATTCACCCAGAAATTCACCATCTGACCATTACCAATATTTCACTGTAATTGCCTTTCAAGTGCAATAAGCCAAGTAAAATCCCCTTCCATGCATGAGAACATCATCTTCTTCCTTCAGCCTCCCATATAGAGAAATTTCTAAAATATCGATGTTTGAAGAATCGTGCCAACAACGAGGATGGATTTTCCACAATCCTCCATGCCAACTTCATCATTCTTGCGATATTGAAATCCGCCATTTCCCTTATCCTGAGACCTCCTTCAGCTCGAGTTAGACACACTGTTCTCCATTTTATAAGATGAACACCTTTTTTCTCTGCTTCACCGGCCCATAAGAAGTTCCTCTGTAATGTCTCTATCATATTACATGTTTTCTTCGGGAGAATGAAAGATAACAGCCAGAAAACCGCTGATGCTACGAGTACAGAGTTAAGCAACTGAAGTCAACCTGCATATGAGAGACATAAAGGCTACCATGACCCAATCTTATCGAATACCTTACCCACCAGACTATGGCAATAACTGTGCCTCAGATATCCACGAAATAATGGTAGGCCCAAATAGCGGACGGGAAGGACTCCTTCACCAAACTTTAACCCCCTCAAAATTCTCGCACGTCCTTCCCGCGGTGCACCAAAGAAAAAAACCTTGCTTTTAAATGAATTAAAAATCTGACCAGTAATCCTTTCAAACTTAGAAATAAGTTCACGTATAGCAGTGGCAGATGAAATGTATGCCTCAAAAAAATAAGCATGTCATCAGCATAAAAAAGATGAAAGACCCCATAGTCACACCCTGAAGGAAATGCCCTGGAACAATGCCTTGCAACGTAGCACAATCAAGCTGCCTACTAAAGAAATCCACCAACAAGAATAGGTAAGGAGATATACGATCCCCTTCCCGCAAACCTCTCTTCCCTTTAAAATAACCCTTGGGTGAGCCATTCCTCAAAACAGAGAAGGAAGTATTGGAAATACATAAGCGAACCCATAAAACAAATAACTCAAGAAAACACAAAACATGCATTCTACCCACAATAAAATCCCAAGAAACCCTATCATAGGCCTTGCTCAAATCGATTTGCAGACACATTTTAGGCCTAGCTGAATTCTTATGGCAAAGAGACATGAGTTCATTTTCCATAAGAATATTATATGTAATAAGTTAAGGCCTACCTTTCAAAATGCAGCCTGCCTAGGGTCGATAAAAACAACAAGAACAACTCGTAGCCGATTAGAAATTATTTTGCTGATGATTTTGTACAAGACATTACACAACCCTAAAGGTCAAAAGTCTTTCATCACCCTAGGTGCATCCACTGTAGGAATCAAACATATAAAAGTGGATTTGATTTGCTTGAGAAGCTTACATTTAGTGAAGAAATCTTTACGGGCGAGAAAAAGATCCTTTTTAATGACTTTCCATCCAAACTTGTAGAATTCCATTGGAAACCCATCTGGACCCGGGGCACTTTCATTTTTCATATCCCAAATGCCTGCTTTGAACTTCTCCATATTTACTGCGTCCACTAATTTGTCCTTTTGAGAATAATTGAGATGAAATGGCGGCGAGAACTGATCAACCATATGTAGGTCAATATTGCTCTCTTGAGCCAATAAATCTTTGAAATAGCCAATCTTAGGATTTTCAATGTCAGTCTCAGTAGACAAAAAATTCTCATGCTGATCTTTCAAAGAGATAATTCTGTCATTCCTCCTTCTCACCACAGTCGATAGATGAAAATATTTCGTATTGGAGTCTCCCTCTTTTAACCTATTTTGACATGATTTTTGCCTCCAGAATCTTTCTTCATAACCCAGAAGAGTTTGCAATTTCTGAGTACACTCTTTTTCCTCAGACATGAATGTCTTATTGGAAGGATTCATGTGTAAGCTATCATGCAAAGATGATAGTTGCTGTTGACTATTGCAATGGATTCCCCAACATAGCCAAACACATCCTTGTTCCATAAATGAAGGTCAGCCCTTAGCCTCTTAAGTTTGGCAACAAAGTGATACATGGGTGTCTCCCCCAACTTGGCCTTGTTAGGAATTAGAGATAACATCCAAAAAACCGTGATGGTGCTCCTGCATAGAGTAACAAAGTGGCTTTCGAGAAAGCTTCTAAAGGCTAGAAAGAGTTTGAAGTTTCCTTACATGATTTTCAATGTGAGTTCAAAGGTAGCCATTGTCATCATCACTTAAGCCTTATCCCAATTATCTGGGGTCGGCCACATGAATCTTGTTCTTCCATTCATAGGTTTAGGATTCATGAAAAGATGTGGAAAAGTTTTACATTGGCTGCCTACCTAATGCAACCCACCTCTTTTACCCGGGCTTGGGATGGGTTAATGGAAAGTTTAAGGTCCTCACCTTGGTTAGACCGTGAGATCAAAGATAGCTGGATTTAATAAATTTATATCAATTCTTCAATATATATATGTCGGGATCCATTTCTTGAAGATTCTTCTTATTACAAATAGTCTTTGAGCCAACAAAAAAGAATGTGGTTTTGATACTGAACTTATCTTAGCACACTGCGAAACTCAAGGACGAGTTTTCTCCAACTTGGGAAGTCTGATACAGGGCAAAATTATTCTAATTTTTAATTTTTATTTAATTCAAAGGATGCGTATTTCAATTTTGACTTTGGGATTTGTTTTTAAGGTTTTTAAGTTTTTTTTAAGGATTTTAGGGTTATTTCTTTATATTTTTGGGATTTTAGGAGTTGTTTAGAAATGTATTAGAGTGCTTCTGGACTATTTTTTTTTATTATGGATAAAAATATCATTGCAATATTTGTTTTAATTAGCTCCTTTTTTCAATTAGAGCTAGGATTTTTCGGGTTCTAGTAAGGTCTTTTATTATCAATTGGGATCTATGAAGAGAATTTAAAATAGAGATTTGAGTTATTTTTTAGAAACATTGTTTCCTTGAATTCTTGTAAATGTTGTAGAGCCATTGAAGTTAGTCTTGTTAGCTTCGTCTTTTATTTTCTTCCCTCCGAAATTCATTCTACATCGGTGATACTGTTTGTTTAGAAGAAAGTAGAACCATGTTACCTTGCAAAAAGCCTGTTCACAGATGGGAGTGTCTACAGTCAGTTCTAAACAATTGGAAGGTAAGACTAATTCTTAATGATGGACATTTATGTGGATATAGTTAATCTCTGCTGTCTGTGGTTGGGAGCAGATGGTGGATCCCCTAGCTGTCTACCATATGCTACATATGCTCTGTTGTGGTGTAATGGTCATTTGCAAGTGTTGTATTGAACTTCACTATCACTCTGTAAAGAAATACTTTTTCTTCTAAAGGTAATCAGTTCTGTCATCAGGTAGAACTCTACGAAAATCTCATTGTCCGTTTATTGTAGTCAATATTCAAGTGTCAAATTCCTCAAAATTGCAAAGATGGAGTCTTATTTGTTAGTTAGAGCAGTGGGAGTTGTGCAAGTGTAGCTAAAGAAGTTATATTTTGTCATTGAGTCATATATTTTGTTTCGGATATGTCACATTTTGAGCCATATAATTGGTCTTCATTATCGTGCCCCTAACCATAACACTGATTGGAAATCCAATGCGTTGCATCTCTCTCTCATTCGCTCATTGATTAGATATCCAATGGCTGGCCTCTCTTTCTCTCTCTCTCTCTGTCTCTCTCTCTCATGTATGCATGCACATGTGCAAGCATGCATGTGCATGTCACTTGCATAAGGATTTCTCATTCTAGTTCTACCTTTTCAAACTGATACTATCCGATGTATATCCATTGCCATTCTAGTGTAGAATACATTTTTTGTTAGTTGAATGCAATCTTTAAGCATTACATACGTCATGATAGCGAAGATGGAATTTTTATTTAATAGTTGTTGAAATTATCCTATGAATGTAAGTGAAATATTTTATAATTTGGAATTGTGCTTGTTAAAATTTTCTATCTTATTCCTTATATTGGTCTCCTTTATCAAAATTCTATCCCCTGCCTGTATGGTTTCTGTTTCCTTACTGATATGTTGCATGATATTGATGCAAGTCAAGCTTCGTATTTTTGCTTAAAAGAAAAAGTTTATTTAATGATGCAACCTTATAATGTAGAACTACGGATGCACATAAAAAATCCATCGGAAAAGGAAGTTTTAATGTTGAAAAACCTTTTGATTGATCATCTCGACATCGAGATGTATGACCATGAAAAATAAAAAGATTTTAAGTCTTAGAAATAGTGCATTTTACAACATATTATCTAGACCGTCCATTTTCATGATGTTCATTTGTTTATAGATGTACTTGATTTTAACCATGTTTTAAATTTAAAATTTTATAATTAGATATAAAAATAGATTTTGAGATAAACCTAAGAACATTTTACATGAAAATTATGTACCATGATAAAATTTGAAGGTGCACCTTACCTCTACAGCTATGGATGCATCCATATGCCAACCGCACCCTTACATAAAATGTTTTGCCTAGATTAAATTATCAACATGTTACCGTTGCAGTTTCCAATGGCCGCGTTGCATTATTCATGACATATGCAAAGGCTGGGTTGTTGGCTACATGGTTTTCTCTTCATTTCCTTATGACATTGTTTTTGCTTGTTGTGCACGGAGAATTATCATCCCTTGTGGACCGATCACAACTGTAGTATGAAACCATATTCTTGTCATTAGGTTCCTCATGTTCTTGTCTCCCTCGTCACTTATCATCCTGTAATTTCTGACCCATGTTTGAGAATCCTCAATTAATTGAGAAAAGGCTAAAATAATGATGATGATCGTGTTCTCATCCTGATAATGTAAAGCGACAGTCATTTGGATGGTTTAACATAATGATGTTCGCCCTCCTTATAGTAAACCAATCTGCTATTGCACGTTGTGGGGCATCTTTTGTTGGGCCACTAGATGTGCTTGGTTCTAGTTGTGTAGCACACTAGTGGAAGAACTATATCACGACGTGTTTGTTTAGGTTCATTATGTACCTCAGAATTTGTCTAAATAATGCTGTAAGAAAGCCCCTAAATCTGTTTTAACTTCACCAAAAAGAACACCTATTTTCTCTCCACTTGCGTTTAATGCTAGTCATAATACACCTGCTCCGCATAACCCAAGCTTGTTTATATCTTACCTATTCGCTTGATTTCCATGTGTTATGTCTGCTTCGCAAATGACCATACCAGCAATAAACAGAAAGAGCGAGAGGGTTAATGCAATGCCACGGATGGCCCTCCAATGTTCAAAAGTAGATAAAGGACGTTTGTTGGTGGGGTTGTTTGGGTGTAGTTTTGCTATGGTAAGAAAGAAAGATACCCACCTCCTTGAAATCGTGGTCCCAAATAGACCCTCGGGTCAATGGAAAGTACATGGACCCCTCCATATGACTGAAATAGGACGTTTAACTGCTCCTATTTCCTTTCCTACCAAATTATCAAATTTAACCCTTTTTTTCTGTTTTGTCACAACCCTCAAAAAGTGCTCTCTCTCTCACACACACCGTGAGCCCCCCTCCCTCTCCCTCTCTCTCTCTCAACCTCCCTTGAACACCCCCTTTATTGAAACCCCCTCTCTTGCTCTCTCTCTTCCACACTCGCAGACTAGGTAGAACAAAACGGAGAGCAAGTCAACGGTATAAGATCATGGTAGCCGTTTCTTACCACTATAAAAGTACCTCATGAGAATTAAGGTTTAGGAATCAGGCTTGGGTAAAAGTGATAGCAGCGGAGTTTTCATAGCATTGCTTCTTGAGTTCCATTCTTATGTAACTTTGTTGAAAAAAAGAAAAAAAAAGGAAAAGAGAAAGCAGGGTTCATTGAGAGCTTAGGTGGGGCAGTTTTTTCAGCATGAGTAAGGGTCTGTTTGACAAAACAGAAACAAAATATTCAAATTTTTAGGAGCATAAATGGATCAGGGAGAGATCTCTTAAAGATTGTTATCCAGATATTTTTATAAGGTCTATAAAGTGGCTGTAATAGTAGAGAGGAATGGGGAACGTAACTTTTGGAATCTTAGGCTTCCATACAACAGAGTATGAGATGGGCTCGTCTTTAAGATAATTTTTTTTTGACAAAGTTCAAGATTTATTAATAATTGAAACCAATTACATCAAGGATTCAAAATCATTAGCAACCACCGGAGCTTCCAACTCAACTCCTCTTTTAGCCAACGAATCAATAAAACATTAGCCTCTCTATACATATGTTCTAGTGAAACTGTCAAACTTGACTTGAAGTCAAAGATTTGCAGGTTGATCAACTTGAGTTGTCAAGAGAATCGTTGTTCTTTTTTACACCATTTTATAACATTCAGCGAGTCCCTTTCAATAATAAACCACGTGCCAAAGTTTCTGGCCACTAGAACCTTCAAGCCAAACATAATTGCAGATAATTCAGCATGATTCGCCGTGGTAACGCCACAAGGAGCAGCAAAAGTAAGAATTATATTTCCTAGCCAATCATGGACTACTTCACCAAAACCAATTGGGCCTAGGTTACTCAAAGAACTACCAGGTATTCTTGCCATTGAATGTTAATGATGAGATAGTATGGAAGGTTGAGAATGATGGGCAGTTTTACAGTTAAATCGATGTATCATATGCTCTTTCACATGCGTAGTAGGTGGTCTCTTTTAGAATTTGCTCAAGTGTGGAAGCGGCCGATATCACATAAGGTACAAATCTTTTTCTGATTGGCTGCCTAAAACAAGATTTTGACAATTGATAACCTTATGAAAAGGGGAAAGATTTTGTTCGATATATGTCTCATGTGTAAGTCCGATGGGGAGTTGGGGGTTCATCTTTTGGTGCATTGTCCTTTTGCTATTTGGTTTTGTTTTGTAGCATGGTTGGGTATGAGCATTGCCATTCCATAATTGATTTTAGATATTATTACCCAACTTTCATTGCCAGACTTACCGTATCGAAAGTGGGCTGTACTCTGTAGAAAATTGTTAGAGGGGCTATTTTGTGGGAGATATGGAAAGAGAAGAATCGTAAGACTTTCAATGGGGATGCAATCCTTTTGAGAGAGTTTTGAATACTATTCGAAACACCATTTGGTGTTGGATGGCGTTTACAAAGGAAGGTAGGGGGATTTTTATGATGGATGTTATGATAAATCTATCAAATCTGTTCAGTTTAGGGGTGGTTAGATGTAGACCAAGAAGCGTCTGGATTCATCCTCCCCATGGGTGTTTCAAACTTTATTTTGATAACAGTTTAGTTGGTCATCCGGGTTTTGCAAGTATTGGGGCTGGCAAGGGATTCATATGGGACCTCTATTTTTGGGTATCCTGGCATACTGAAATTGTGGCACTTTTGCATGGGCTCCGACTTTTTAACACAAAAAGGATTAGGAGCTAACTGTGTTGTGGAGAGGGATTTTCTTAATGTTATTAAGTGGTGCAATAAGGAGTAGAGGACTCCAGAACTGAGATCTTATTGGTAACAAATTATGCAGCTCTTTGAATCTTTAACATTTCTTTTCAGCATGTTTATATAGGGTGGCAAATGTGGAGGCAGATACTTTTGCTAAGTATGGGGCGTCTTTATGCCTTTTTTCTATTACTGACAATGTAATAATCTCGCTTTGAGTGCATTTCATCAATAAACTTTAAAAAAAATTACAAAAAACCCCGAAGACTACACTTTTTATTCAATTTACCCCCAA